TATTTTACCATGAAATTGGTAGGCACATTTTGGGTTTTGTTGGTGGGAATGGGTTTAGGTGATAGAGATTATGCCCAGGACTTTGTGAACTCTAAGATGTGTTCTATCGCCAATCTACAATCCCCAACACAGTAATATTTTGTTTTGGCAAACAACAAAGAACTAAAAATTGGGAAGCAGAAGTGAAGAAATCATAGCTCCGTCTGGCAATATGAAAATACTACTATCGGCCACCCTGAGCATGGACACTCAAACTGCTCATATTTAATAATTAATAATGGTTTGATGAAGTGAAATCTCCAGGTTGACAGCAAGGACTCAAAGATACTAACGGTTACAGTGGGAGGCGGTGGCAGGAAGTGAGTCAGTAAAGGTTGTGTAAGCAAGAGAAAAGCGCTGCAAGAGTTACGGATTTAGAAGAAGTAGACCAAACTTCTCAGAGCTTTAATCTGCCTTATGAGCTTTTCTAATACAGGAAGACAAACTATAAACAAATAGATTGAGGAAATACCCAACTAGAAATCATGAGTTGAAAGTTGCAAGCTAAGTTGGACGTTGTATTAGTTTCTTTTCTTGTTGCTGTGATTTAAAAAACAAACAAACGAAAAAAAACGTGACAAAAACCTCAGGGTAGGGCTGGAGAGATGGGTCAGTGGTTAAGAACACTTGCTGTTTTTCCAGAGGACCCGGATTTGATTCCTAGCACCCATATGATGGCTAACAACCATCTGTAACTCCAGTTCCAGAGCATTTGACATCCTCTTCTGGCCTTTGCAAGCATTACAAAGGTGCATTGCATATGGTGTACTTATATACATGCAGACAAAAGACTCGTACACATAAAATAAAAATAATAAATAAAATTATTGTTTTAATCAGCTCAGGGGAAAGGGGGCTTATGTTGGCTTACAGTACCAGAGAGATAGAGCCTGATATGGGAACAGACAGGGAAGGCATGATGGCAGTAGCAGGAAGCTGTCTAATCATATGTCATTGGCACACAGGAAGCAGAGAGCGAACAGGATGTGGGGTCAAGCTTATTATAAAACCTTGCCAGCAGCCTTTACCTCCTAAAGTTTCCATAGCCTCCCCAAACAGACCTATCAGCTCGAGACCAAGGTGTTAAAACACATGAGCCTGCGGGGGGCATTTCATATTCAAACCACAACAGGTGTCATGTACTAAGGTGGGAGGATTACAAATTCAAGCCCTGCCTAAGCTACATAGTGAGACCTTGTCTCAAAAAATGTTGCAAAATAAGAAGAGGAAATAAATACAAGTTGCTGTATAAAGAAATGGAAGCCATGTGATGGTAATGCCAAGGAGGAGACCTGGCTGCCCTCCCTCCTTCTCATCCCTCTTCCACTATGTGTTCTTTCCACAGAGAGAGAAGAAAGAATGAAAATATATGTGTGTGCCTTTATGCAGGCATGTTGGGAAGGTGTATAATGCCTAACAATTTTATTCTTACCTACATTCCCATGACTAACAGCCTGGACATTGTCAGTACTCACAAGAAACTTATGAAATCTTAAATTCTAACTCTTTCATTGAATGTTCTGTTTTCACCTTCCTCCTACACTTCTGTTCCATTAAAACTGTTTCCCTGCTCCATGGAGGTCTCAAGATCCTAAATGACCTTATCAGTAGCCTTCTGTCTTTACTTCCCTTCCAACCCAGCACAGACCTTATGATGTTCAAATTAATCATACTCTTACAATCTATTTTCTTTATCTTGCACCAAGTTTGCTGGATGATGCTGGAGAAAAATAGTAGAGCAAAACTCAGTCTGTATACCCACCCCCCTCAAACCTCCCTGTTTCCCTCCTCAGTGTCTACAGGCACTTGATTCCAGGACCCCCAGTGGATCCCAAGATCCACAGGTGATCAAGTCCTTAACGTAAAATGGTGCAGTATTTGCATTTAATCTGCATCTATTTTTTCCCACATATTTCATATCAAGGCTAGGTTATTTATAATCCCTAATTCAATACGAATGTTATATAAATCATGATTGTTTTGTATTGTTTAGGGAATATGACAAGAAAAAAACCTGCAAGAATCTAAGTGCTTGAAATGTACTGTTATGAAGACAAGTACAAGGCCCTGTTCAGCTCCCAGCATCATTATCAGGCAGCTTACAACCACTTGACTCTCCAGCTCCAAAGGCTCTGATACCCTCTTGTTGTCTCTATGGACACTGGCACTTACATGTACACACACACACACAAATTAACTAACTAACTAACTAACTAACTAACTAACTAACTAACTAAATAAATAAATAAATAAATAATAAAAGTAAATAAGTCTTTTTTAAAAAAGGAAGTCAAATAAGATAAGAATTCAACATACATTGCTCTTAGTAACAGAGAAGCCACTGCGAACCACTGAGAAAACTGGTCCAGAGGATGACCAAGGCAGCCAGCCTAGAGTGAGCCAGGTGGAACTTAAGACTACAGTCACTCTTCATAGAAATTCGACTATAAAGGGAAGAATGGGTTATTTTGACTTGCTTTTTACATAAAAATGCATGGTTCATTTTTTTATTGCATTCATTTGTGTGTCTGAGTGGCAGGGGAAGATCAGGGGAGTTCCATGGCTTAGGCATGGAAGTCAGAAGACGACTTCTAGTAGTCAACTCTCTCCTTCCAGTATGTGGGTCCTGGAGATCATCAGACTTGGTAACAAAAAGCTGTACCCTCTGAGTCACTGTGCAGGCCCAGGAAACGTGTGTTTAAATGATGGTAGAAAAGAGCCACCAGAAAGAAAGAGGTTAAAGATAGACTAAGAAATGGGTTAACTGATGGTGCAGTGACCTAAGGAGAAGGGAACTGGATGGAAACTATTGAGTAGCATGGCGGACATCTGCTGTGGCTGAGAGGAGATGGTTGGGGTTGCAGTTTTAGGAGTAGTGCCTATGAATGGCTTTATCAAGTTTCAAAGCCCATGGAGTTATCTGCTGAGACCAGGTCTGGAAAGAAGCCGAGGAGATTGAAAAACAATGAAGATTTGAAATAGGCACAGAGAAAAGTGAGAAAGTGATGGGGCTGGGGGGGGTATAGATAGAGAGGCAGCAAGGATCCCATTGTAGTTGAATTCATGGGGGATCCCCTTGCTTCACTGTTCACATGCATCCTCCTGCAGGGCTTGGTCACTGGCAACTACATGGGAAGTCACAGTGGCTTTGTGCACCACTATGGCTTTCATGTCCCATAAGGAGGTTTCAGAAACTAGTAAGAGAATGACTGCAAAGATGGACCATGGAGTTGAAGTCAAAGAGAGAGGCCTGCTGAAAATAAAAATGTATGCGCCAGTGGACACAGGTGATGAGAACAAACAGGATTTATGGAATAGCCGCGTCGTAAGGGAAGATGCTGTGGTCAGAAAGTTCAGGGCAGGTTGCTGAGAGTGCTAAGAAATGGGGACCATGGTGTGGGCCTGGAGATGAGGTCCAGCAACAGAGAGGCCCTGGAGATGAGGCCAGGCACCCTTCAATGATCAGGATGTCCTCATTACACAAGTCTGTAGAGATTTTACATTTTTCTTTTTCTCATTTAAGTCATAAATCCACCTGGATTAATGTTTATGTGTGAAGTGAGATTGCCATTTTTATTTTCTTCTATTTGGAAAACCAATGTTTCCCGTGCCATTTAATTATATATTTCTTCTAAACTTAAAATACCTTACCAGAATCAGAGTTGCCAGGTTTTAAAAGTACTAGCTCATTCATTTTGTTATTTACTTGGCACCTATAAGTGTAATATATATGGTATCATTAATTTCCTTAAGTATTGACAGTCTAAAGGACAGAAAACATAAACCTAAATATCGGTTTAAAAGGACCAAACCAAAGCAGGAGACACTTGAATCTCCTGCTGCAGCTCTGTGAGGGTGAATTGGCTTTTTGTTTGTTGAAAATCAGTTGTAGCTTTGTGGGAAAGTTGTTTGGAAATACCTTGGAAGGTGAACAAAATTTACACTGCCAGAGAAGGGGGCGAGAGATTATTTTAAATATGGAGACGCCATCCATTAAGGCAAGGGAAGTGGTAAAATGGAACCTTGCGGTATACACCATTTAGCAGGAGAAAGAGCAGTAGCTAGAATGTCAGCTGAGGGCAGGCCCCACAATGCCTTCAAAACAGTCTAGTAGACTGGCCTCTAGTTATTTAGCATTGGGTGTCAACAAAAGTCTCTACTAAGGAACGATAGAATTAGGAAGCTATGTGATTAGACAGACAGAATTCAGGGGGTTAAATATGAGAGGATGTACCAGTCCTCTGGGGATGGTACACTATTGGTTTGTCCTGGGAGGTGGAAAGGGCAAAAAGGGTATAAGAGAAATTTCAGAAACAGACCCATAGTAGTTAATGTGTAAAGAAAGGATCAAGCTCAGCTCTAAAAATAAAAGGGTAAGAACTGTGTGAGGAATTTCTGCACCTGAACAAGCCTCAGCACTTGCCCAAATAGAATTTTCTATGCCTTTTGGGGTGTGTGTGTGTATGTGTGTGTGTGTGTGTGTGTGTGTGTGTGTGTATGTGTATGCATGTGTGCGTGCATGTGTGTATGTGTGTGTGTCTGTGTCTGTGTATGTCTGTGTGTATGTGTGTGCAGGTTTGTGTGCACATGTATATGACTGTGTAGGCCAGAGGAGCACATCTGGTGTCCTGTTTGATTGCTCTCAGCCTTCCTCCCTTGAGACAGGATCTTCACTGACCTCAGAGCTCACCATTTCTGCTAAGCTACCCAGCCAGCAAGCTCCTCGGGTCTGCTTGTTGCAGGCACATGCAGTATTCTCAGCTTTTACGTGAGTGCTAGGGATCCAGACTTAGGTCTCATGTTTGAACAGTAAGCACTCTTACCCACTGAGCCAAGCCCTCCGCCCCTTTGCTGCCTTTAAAAAATCTGTACTGTTTAAAATTCTTTCACTTCCTAGCTCTGTGTGTTTGGATTAATGGTTTTGTTCTTATTACCTCCTCCACCTCCTTGATGTGTAACAGCTTCTACTGGATATGGTTGGGTCCCCGGACCAGGATCTCCAGGAAGCTGCCGCTGGCTGTATATCCAACATCCGCAGACTGGCTCTTGCTACAGAAAAGGCAAGATACACTTGAAATTTGATTATACGAGAGAAGCTACTAAACTATATCTGACATAGGTCATGCCACTCCCATGGCCAGGAAGCCAGAGTTTGGAAGCTTTTATTAACTAAATCTTCAAAGAGTCTAATGAAAATACATGGACTATAATGCAAACAATACTTTTCATCAAAAATTACAAGAATCTTTTCATTCTATTTGGCCTTTATGTTTTAAGGACATGCTGTGTAATGAAATGTAAAGTCAATGAACTTGTGATAATTTTTCAAGGATTGGAGGGTATATGTATATGATATAAATATTCAAATGATACTTTTGCATCTGCAGTGATTTAATAAAGAATATGGCTTTCCCAGTGTGCCGTTTTGGAGTTGCTCGTGAACATCTTGAGAATTCCCTTTCTGTTAAACCTATCTGACTGTCCTGTCGTTATGGCGTGGTCTGTTTGATCACTTGCAACCCACAGGAGAGTTCTGAGGAGATGTGCTGATTTCACAAATGGTTATTAAACAGAATTTAGAGTTAAGCAGCTGCACTTGAAGGGATCATCCTGAGGTCATCCCAAACTTTCCCCAAATACCATCAAACATCACAGACGACATGCAACTGTCACCACACCAGACAGCATGAAGATTACAAGGACAAGGGTCCCTTCTTTTACTTCTAGACATGCTGAGTGTAAACAATGGGATGTTTCATTCCCCTCACAGGGAATCACCAGCACTTTTATTAATTTATGCTGATGTAAGGATAATATTATTTCACATAAAATTGCTCTGAATTTCTGAACTTGTTTTCAGCACACAAAGTACTTTTTAAAAAAGAGGCTACAAAGGACTAATAGCATTTTATCAGGTTAAGAAACGTTAGAATCCATTTATAAAAATCACATATGTAACCTTGGTGCGCTGAAATGTTTGGGAACTAACTGTCCCAGGCATCTAATACCCGCCAGAAAAATAGCTTTGTACGCCTCAGTTCAGAAAGCCCATAATCTCCGTGAATGCTTTAGAGAGCAGGCAAGGCGGTTTTATTGAAAAATATTAAGTTCCGTATATGTCATCCTCTGGAGAAAACCATAAACTTAATTGAATTCAATGTAAATAATTTGTACAAAATGAAAAGCTTGTACGAGACAAAATTTAGACCAGTGACTGAGGCTCCAATAAAGCATTTTTGAGAATTTTAGGGTTTCATAAAACACCCACTAGTCTTTGCTGTTTTTCAAAGAAGAGCATAAGAAAAGAATAAAGTGAGTGAGGAAATATATTAACACTAAGGTTTACATGTAAAGAATAAAGTCGGTCTGTTAACCTCCAGCACTACATACTCCCAATGTCCACATTCCAGTTCATTTTGCTGTACAACATTAAAAGCACAACTACAACGGCTGGATTACGGCAGCTACAGAAAACGAATGAGCACATCGTGTTATTAAAGGAAGCTCTGTCACCGTCTTCAGGTCTTAAAATATTCTTGTATCACTGGGTCCTGGGAATGAAGGGAAACAACAGGAAAAACCGCAGAAACAGCACCAAAAAAAAAGACTTGTGACTGCTGAAGGGGGTGATTGGATATTTTATGATGGACGGAGTCTTCGGAAACCTGGTGTTTCTGTTTTTGTGGTTAACGGATGCATAAAATAAAAGCAACAGTGCCATTTGAGAAGAAATCGAACGCTTAGAAAATTCGCAGGCATATTGTCTGTGTATCTCTCAAAGTAAGAATTTGTGTTCAGATTCTTAAACACCAGAAGCGTAGCACCTTAAGAGTGAGCAAACGAGACGTTGAATTTAAAGGCCAATTTGGAGCTTATTTTTGTGAAACGGTGTTATAGAAAGTGCTGATCTTTCTAGAAAATGTCAAAGCCAGCAAAAGCACCCTCAGCTTTCAGAGGACGCAGATTCAGAATGATCACTCTGTCCTGCTAGCGTGTGCTGTGGGAATATTTACTGTTTTTTTCCTTCTGTGTAAGGATTTTTGTGATGTATATTTTGTGCTATTTAAGGCAAAGTGCGTTAATTCTTTATGTTTCAATGACAAATCTCTTCCCTGGGCTTTATTCTAACTGGACACCCAGAGTACACAATATACTTTCTGGGTAGCAGATGGCTCTTTCTGCTTAAAGGGGGTTTAAGGTGGAAGGAATTTTAAATAGATTTCCTTAAAGGAATCCTTGTCATGATCCTTCCACCTCTGGCAGTGAAAATTTACTGTGATCAGGATAACTTGTACTGAAAATAACTTGTTTCTTTTTTAACCTTCCCTAGCTTCTAAAAATGAATTTAAGGCTACTTTTCTTAGGATATGGCATTATGGGTTCTGTTTTCCTGATAGACTTTGCTATTACCATTACATATCTCTGAGGCATTCACATGAAACTGAGAGATTATGATTTGAAATATTTGGAAATTTTATTTCCATTTAGGAAAATAAGAATCTTCGTTGTTGATGAACAGCAACCAAGAGCAGCAAAAAAAATTATTTCATTTTCCATTATTTAATGGGATTTGATCAACAAGATAAAACTTCCCAGTTCAAACAGTTTAAGATGTATAATTGAATTCTTTCCATGAAGATTTGGGGTTGGAATGGTCTATGCTCATTCCTGTGAAAATATTAAGACAACCCATACACTGAAAAGTTTTATTACTTCAGATTCAACAAATGCCCCCAAACCAATGGCCCATGTGTACTGCTATAAAAATGGGATTCTCCACCAGATGAGAATGGAATAGAAAGGCAACCAATTTTATATGATGCTACTTAATGTAGGCACCATGTTAGCTACTTTCCTTTTTTATTATGGTTCTAGTTATTTCTTGGGAGGGTGAGCAAATGCCATGGTGGGCGTATGGAGGTCAAAGCACAGCTTGTGGGACTCAGTTCTCTCCTTTCACAGTGTGGGTTTCTAGAATCAATTGCAGGTCATCAAGCTTGGTGGCAAATGCTGTTGCCTGCTGAGCCATCTCCATGGCCTAGTATTAGGTACTTTTGCTTTTATTTAAAATGCAAGAGGACTGGGGGCTGGAGAGATGACTCAGCAGTTAAGAGCACTTGCTGTTCTTGCAGAGGAACTGTGTTTAGTTTCCAGCACCCACATGAAGGCTCACAACGATCTATAACTCCAGTTTCAGGGGATCTGATGCCATATATATATATATATATATATGCAAATATATATATGCAAGCATTCACACGCATAAAAAATAATTCTGCAGGGGTAACTTGTGCTTTTCCAGGATTTATCTATAATGGTGTTTTCTATTGCTACAGTGTAGATCCTGAGTGTCCCCCCAATGGTCCATGTGTTAACAGCTTGCTTCCCAGCTTAACATGATTGAGAGGCAGTGGAACTTTAAGACGGGGACACCTTAAAGGAGGTCTTTGGGTTATTAGGAATGTGTCCGCAAAGAGGCTCTGTCTTGCTTGTGAGCCATGTAGTGGTTTTGCTCTGGCACATGGTCCCACAATGATGCTATGTCTTCTTATAGGCCTAAATTGCTCATGGACTTTCTCTTTGTAATTTTATTTTTTCAAATATTTGTCGTAGCTTTGGAAAGTTGACTAACACACAAGGTTTATAATGATAAAAATGTTAGGAAAACCTTGGTTCCTTCAATCATGGTTCAGCCACACAATGAAAACATGTTGTAGAATAATAATCACACAGAATGTTTTCTGGAATACATTGTTAAATTGCAAAGCAGGTTCTGAAGCAGTGTATATAGTTTGAGTATTTTTTAAGTCATGAACCAATGAGGTGGCTCAGGGAGTAAAGGTGCTTACCACCAAGCCTGAAGTCCTGAATTTGATCCCTGGGACTCAATGGTAGAAGGAGAGAACCAACTCTGGTAAGCTGTCCTCCGACCTGTGCATACTCACTGTGGCACACATACCCCTCCCCGACACAATCAAACACACTTCTCCCACACAAACACAAGAAAGAAAGACATCTTTTTCTGTTGTTGTTTGTTTGAGACAGGGTCTCCCTGTAGTCCCAGCTGTCCTGGAACTCAGTATGTAGACCAGGCTGGCCACAATCACAGAGACCTGCCTGCCTCCATCTCCTGTATGCTAGGATTAAAGGCAAGTGCTACCAGGACCAGATAAATAAGTTTTATTTTTAGAAATCATGATTCTAGAGATAAGGGAGGGTTGATACAGATGGGTGAGAGATGAGAGAGTGGGGAAAGTAATCATAATGCATCAAATACATAAATGAAATTGCCAGATAACAAAATTAATCAATGCAAAAGAGAAACATCAAGTGCATTCAGTTAGCCACAAAGAGAAAAGACCCTGAATTGTATATAGCAAACTTTAAATCAGTGAACATCCTACCTAGTGGGCGGGAGTGATTCTTATTTTGCTCACTGGGGTCTTTAATCCATACCACAATTAATACCCATCATTCTAAAAAGAAATACAAAAACTCTGTTAGTTGTTATCATTTAGAAACATAGAAGGTAGCCATTTCTTCCTCCTTCCAAACACTAACTTTTAGATTTATTTGTGTATGTGTGTGTTTGTGTGTGTGTGTGTGTGTGTGTGTGTGTGTGTGTGTGCCAGGTATGTGTGGTGAAAAGAGAGTGTCAGATCTCTTGAACTAGAGTTACAGGTGGTTGTGAGCTGCCCAATGTGGATGCTGGAAGCTGAACTCTGGTCCTGTGCAAAAGCAGCAAGCACTCCTAACCAACCACTCAGCCATCTCTCAATCCCTAATCACTAACTTTAAAGGAGAATTCCTGTGCTTATAAATGAAGTACATAGCACAGGCATAAAAGAATCAAGATTGTAAAAATAGCAACTTTAACATCGAAAAAATCATAGGAATATTCTTTTTTTTTTTTTTTTGGTCTCTTTGAAGCAGGGTCTCCCTGTAGCCCCAGCTGTCCCAGAACTCACTATGTAGACCAGGCTGGCCTTGAGCTCACAGAGATCCACCTGCCTCTGCCTCCCAAGTGCTGGGACTACAGGCGTGCGCCACCATGCCCGGCTCATAGGAATATTCTTAATCTCCAAAATATTCATTTGTAATAATTTTAAACTACAACAAATACCAATATTGCACCATCAAGACACCGTGAAGTGGCCACATTATAAACCTGCCATTTCCTTATTTGGTTTTTGTCAATTAAACATCTGGAGTCTCTCTTTCTCTTCTTTCCTTCTTTGCTTCCTTCCTTCCTTCCTTCCTTCTTTCCTTCTTTCTTTCCTTCTTCATTTCTCCTTTCTTTCAGATAGCATCTCATGTATCCCAGGCAGGCCTCAAACTCACTATATAGCTGAGGATGACCTTGAATTTATAATCCTCCTGTCTTCATCTCCCTAGCGCTGGGATTACAAGCATGC